ACCAGCTGAACTAGCATTAAATGCCAGGTTGGATGGGGCTTAGAGCAACCTGGTCTAGTAGAAGGTGTCCCAGCCCATGTTGGGGGTTGGAACTAGATGAACTTTAAGTTCCCTTCCAACCTAAACCATTCCACAATTCTATGAGCAAGGCAGGGAGCAGTGACAGCCCAGGAGCTGGGGTGGCTCCCACCCCAACCTCAACCCCTGAGTGCTTTTCAATCAGATAAGAATCTCCTGCAAAGCCCCATTTTTGAGCTGCTCTTCCCTGCTGCAGTGGCCTCTGTGCCAGGGGCAGGTGAATCTTGTCTGCCACAGCTAATCCTGCACGGCCAGACTCGGCCTTCCCTGACTTAATTGGATGCTCTGACAAAATTAGATGTTCTCTTGCTTCCATGGAAAAAGGCAAACACTGAAGGTAATTCAGAGGCTTTGATGCTGCTCTTTAGTCATTCGGGCTCCACAGCCACGGAGTGACCACGGGCTGGGATTGAGAGTCACTCATCCTCCTGCACAGCGTGTGAGCCTGGGGCAACCACCCTGTCTGTGCACGGGCACCACGGCCCCTCTGCTCAGCAGGGGAGGGGTGAGGAGACTATTTCCAGAGCCAGATTTTTAACTTCAATAACCCCGACACCACTGGCAGCCAAGGAGTTTGCCCAAGATCCCAAACCAGCAGTGCCTGGAAATGCTGGGTCCACGCACGGAACCCCAGGTCCCAGTTTGAATTTGGTGGCACTGGAGAAAAGGAAAGCTGTGCCCAAGGCCACGTGCACAGAACAGACATGTAAACAATACCCTTTGAAAGTGGTTTTAAATCTCCTTCTCTGAGCCAGGACTGCTTTTCAGGCCAGAGGTGGGAAGGTTTCAGGGCAGGTTGCTGGGAGCAGGGCTGGGGAGGTCACAGCCACCTCCAGGATTTGCACTTGGGCTTCACTCTGACCCAAACATTGTGACCTGGTGCTCAGTACAGAGAAGGGCACTGATCACTCATCCCCCCCCGGTGCAAAAAGTAAATCCCCAATGCAAACAAACCCAGAATCCAGGCATTTGGGAGGGATGCTCCAGAGCGAGGATCCCTGGCTCTGTCCCCACCACGATCCACTTCCACAAGAGATGGGATGTTTGCAGCTCTGGCCTTTCCCCTCCTCCTCAGCCACAAACCAGCACACTCAGGCCAAGGAGACCTCCCCCAAAGGAGAGGCTCAGGGAGCAGCTCCATGCCACAAACCTGTTCCCCCTCGGCAGGGTTTGGGGGAGCCCGAGCCCAGCAGGAACCTCTGCCTGCGCAGCTCCCGGGGCTGCTGCAGCCCCAGCTCCGAGTGCCAGGGCAGCTCCTGGGAAGATGAGGAGCTTGAGCAGTGATCCCGGCTTGTGAGCTGGGCTGGAGAAGCAGCTGCAGCCCGCGGTGCCCAGCGCTGCCCCCGGGCAGGGCAGGGAGGAGGAGGAGGCAAAGCAGCACTCAGAGCTGCTGCCTCAGCACCAGGAAGGCTCCAGCACCCAGGCTGCTGCTCACCCAGCTCTGCCCAGAGCTCTCAGGATCTGTCTGCTTCCTATTCCATCGTACCCTCCCTCCTGGAGCTTCACTCACCGTGTGTTCCTCCCACCAGGATCAGAAAGGGCTGCTCTTTGGCAGGAAACTGCCCCCCAAGCTGCTCTTATGCCTGGATGTAACAATCTTGTCCTGAAGAAAAAGAGGAGCAGCCACACACCATCAAGATCCCATCAAATCACCCCTTGAAGTGAGCAAACTCCCAATTAACAGCCCCAGCTGAACACTGGGGGGTGTTTGTGTAGCTCCAGCAGGGCAGTTGGCACCAGCAATGCAGGAGCACACACGTCTGCACATCCACCATTTCCCAAGGACTGGATCTCACTCCCCTTGTAGCTGCACCAGGACTTCCCAGACCTCAGTGCCAGGCACAGCTGGCACAGGCTGCCAGCCCAACCTGCAGCCAGCTCAGCAGGGTTAGGCAGCACAAAGACCCCTGAGAACCCACTGCCAGTGCCCACCTGGCACTCTGTCTGTCCAAAGCAGCTTGGATTGGGCAGCATTTTCTCTAAGATAACTCAGTACCTTCCATTTAAAATACCCTCAATTCCTTGTTTTAAAGGAGGCAGAGACTTATCAGGAGCTCCTACACCAGATTACTTCCATCCCACATGTTACATCTCATTTGTCTCTTTAAACTGCCCAGTTTCTCATCATTTCTCATGTGCCTATGGAAGATCTACCCACTGTCATGAGACCCTTCAGAGCTCATGACCAAAACTGAACACTGCCCAGCACAGGTGTCTCACTGCTGCTTGGGGCTAAGGGCCATGGTGTACATCTCATTCCCATTTTAATTCATGAAATGGTACCAGGCATAGCTGGCTCAGCCTGTAATTAAAATTCCAGAGCTAAGCACAAAGATATTCCATAGGAAAAAGCTGATTGAAAGCAATAATCTTGACCATTTTGCTGGACCTTCTGGTTTAAGGGCCATCATGTGGCCTATTTGCCAATTAATTCATGGAAAGAGAGCAAACACTTGAAAGCAAACAGTGCAGCCTGATGAAAGAACAGAGCAATAAGGAAGCAGGTTTCCAAGCACCATAAACCAACATTCCACATCTCACTGTTCCAGGCACAACTGACACTTCCCAGTCCCACGGAAATGTGTTTGTTGTGTCACCTCAGACACTTCACCTGCCTGCCCTGTTCCCTCACAGCTGCTGCTTCCAACCTCATCTTTGCCATTCCAAGCTCCCTTGTGGGGCTAAAAGCCTCAGTGAAGTTTGCAAGCCTGGTTTCCATCATCCAGGTGGCTTGAATAAGTTTGGTTTTGTTGGGTTTTTTTACATTTTTCCTTTTCCCAGTGCCTCCCCCATCACTGAAGTCCCAACACAGCCTACAAACCCCACCCTACTCACTTCCTACTCACATGACATCAACACAAATCAGCCAATTTGCCTCTGTGAGGATGGGTGCAGGTCCTTATCTGAGCCTTCAGGCAACAGATCCTCCTCCAGAATTAAGTGGCCATTCTCCAGGGCTCAAGCAGCCCCAGGTGATGGTGAGACCTTGATCCTCTGAATGCTCCAGAAGGTGTTCTCCATGCTCCATATAAACTACACACCTCAGAGGTCAGGAATAAAACTTTATTGTTTTCAGATCTCTTATCTTGTGTTCAGCTCATCAGTTCTCTGTCAGAAGATGTTTAACAAAAAGAGGCCAATGGCTCTTGGCTTTTCATAACAGTAACCAATTAGGAAATGGCCACAGTACAAGTTTCACTGGAATCAATCCAGGAGAAAAGCAAGGAAGGAGTTTGGTTTGCAAACCAAACAGAACAGTTCTCCAAGTGATTTGATACAAAAGCTGAAAAGGAGAGAGAAGCTGAGATGAAGGCAGAAAAAGGTACCATGAAGCAGATCAACCAGCTGATGCCTCCTCAGGTTATCAGGTGACTTTTCCTTTCCTGGAAGGAAACAGGCTTTATGGGGAAGAGAAATCTGCCA